TCATCATCATTATCATCATCATCATCATCATCATTATCATTATCATCATCATCATCATCATCATCATCATCTTCATCATCATCATCATCATCATCATCATCATCATCATCATCATCTCCACGTTCACCACCGTCACATGCAGGATGATGCCGTCAGATGGATGCTCTGCTTTACATAATGATGTCGACCGCAAAGATCGGCGTTCATCATCCGGTGGTACATACCATTGACGGAACACCTGGTTCGAACTATCACTAACTGGCAACCTGCGATAACTTTGCCATGGATCATCGACCATGTCTGGCAACTATTCGAGACGTCATTGGATCCAAGTTGCTCCTATATATGAGGAAACATTCCCGAATTTAGTGGACAATCCACTCCGGAGTACAGCAGCCTTTCTGAGAAGCCTAAAGCCTTAAAATGAACATAGTGCTACTTGAGGGTAAGTTTATTTTAGGTTCAAAACAAAAAATGTCTATTTTGCTTCGTTGACATTCCAAAAACAAATTGAAACTGAGTTCGACTCTTCTTCCCACAATTTGTGTATATCAACGCAACGGTGGATATGTTTTTGGTCAGCAAAGCAAACGTGTTGAGTGTCCATACAGATTTATTGGACAACGTGTTTCAATTTCACCACTCAGTAAACTGTGCGTTCACCTTAAAGTTGAAATTGTTCTTTTTCATGCTTTTCAAATAAGCTCACCCGCCGGATGCGTGTTTCGCGATTTGACAAAGACGCTTGTTACTCACTCAACTGCCCGTACTCAAATTTGTTTTCTTGGCAGGTGGGATGTTTGCCAGTGTCCTACCTGACAGTTAAGCGAACCGTTCAATTGGATTAACCAAAGCGGTGTTGGATTGAACCCTTCGGGTTTCGTCACTCGTCGCAAAACCGGAACGAAAATAGCCAATTGAATTAGTCTCAAACTCGAAGCGTTTCTCGTCCTACGTCGTCAGATGCACCTGATCTGAAGTGCCCAGGACCACTTCCACATCTCTGAACACATGGTTCTTGTGAGTCTTAGGAGCATCGGCCAACAACGTAATTGGATTGCTTGTTGTTCACTGTCAACCCCGGAGAACACACACGAGTGAAGTGTTTGATGGGATAAGTTTAACTGTTTGAGATCTTTCGGCTAGGTTGAAGTATTGTCATGAATCCACACCATCCACTTACGACTATCACACTTAGAGTTGCTCGATCGAACGTTCTTGTAGTTGTAATGAGCCTAGTGTGACCCTCGAGCTGAAGGTCGGTTCTTTGTTTACCGAGGAAAAAGGGTTGCTGGAGAACTGAACATGGAGTTCAACAAAAGAGCCATATGATCAGGAGTCAATCAACCATTGCAAAATGCACTTTTTATGCCTTCTACTAGTGAAAGGAAGAAAGCCTTCGCTGCGGAGTTATCTACTGGAAAATGCCAACTGACCGGCTACAGACTATTAGACAAGGAAGCAAAACTCTCATTTGCATATCATTTACAAAAACTGGACATCCATCTTCTCCTGAACGCATCTTCTTGAACTTTCCTAGATATTCATTGACTCCAGTCATACATTACTTAATTCCAAGCAGATGTTACGAAGCGACTCTACAAATTTCGCAACAGATCTCCCCTTTCAAAGAGACGCAAAGCGAAATTCCAGGAACAACAGATACTACTCACATGCCTCCCTATCAGTAGTGTCACCGTTACACTATATAAATGGCTGGCCCTAGACAACAGTCTTTGAGTCTTCTGTCGTTACGATTGCTCCAACAAACAGATAGTACCACCGAAGTTCATTTATTGCGTCAGAGATCGGGACATTGAAGTAAGTAAACACCGCATACAGTGAATTCTGTTGTCTGCTTTGAAGTTTTAGAATTTAAAAACCAGCCTTAGTGATATTATATCTTTTAAGAATGTACCCATAAAAACATTCAACATATCCAGCAGGCTGGTGAAAATAGAAGCAGAAAAATGAAGCAATATATGTCTTTTTTACTCCAAAAATCCGAGGTGACTATGGATTATCGTAATTCCGAGGCGTTTGGAAAACGACATCTTACAGCATTTTTTCTCTGCTCACAGCAGAGACAAGATCGATAAATGCGAAAGTTGTGCGAGACTGTACCATTGGTTCTGCTAAACGATTGGGTCGGACCTCGACATGACTGCAATCTGTTCGTGCTTGTCATGAGGTTCCTTTTGAGCTATCTGACTGACGAATACGCTGAATTGTCCTTTCATGGCAAGTATTCTCTAACGCATTCAAGGAAGTACTGTACATCGGTTTTGTTTAAACGGAAGCCTCAGCCGAATTCGTTTCCATGGAATTCTACAAATAGAACACAAACTTCGCGGAAACTCAGTAACTGCTTTGCTGGCGGGCCCTGAAAAGAGCGAAACCGGTCGTGGGCTATCGAAGAGTTTTCGGCAACCTTCCGTCAAGAAAATCTTGTCAAGATTAGGTTGGAATTATCAAATAAATACACTATTAGGGGTAAATTAATTACATCCTGGTTGAGCGTATTCAGGTCACCTTCGTACAACTCCACAGACAGTGGAGGGCTTTGGCAAAGAGGCTGCATCGCGGACGGCTGATAGCACTAAAACCGGACTTTTGCTGACATTCCGTCAGACACGTCGCAAAACTTACTCATTATTTCTGAGTAGCCATTTGGACTGGCATCGTCAAGTCCGAGGAAGATACTACTGAAAAAAGCTGCCTGAATAAAATCTTCGGATAAAATGAATTTTGTTGCACGGTGGTTTATGAACCCAAAAGAACAAAATCAATATGTCACGAGGAGGTTTGAAGGTTCCAGTTACGCTTCCGTCTTGTTAATCGCATCAGTTCATGCTACGAAGACAAGAACTATCGAGTATCTGTCTATTTCGTCCGTATCTCATGAAATTCCAAGGATTCCTTACCCCCATATTGGAGGCCATGACGTTCATTCACAAATGTCTGCTGGGAATAAGCTATCTTGGGGGGATTTCCAGAACCCCTGTACAGGTAATACTTCGTTAGAAGATTAAGGCTTGCAAGTCCCACTAGTCAGTTCTATAGAAGATTTAAGTCAACTCCTGGTCGGGTTCAAGCTTTTCTGGTGCTGTATTTGTAGGCTGGATGTGGAGTTGTGACGTTTTTGATGGTTTCTGATGGATATCTGTAACAGCTACACACCACTAGCACCCGCTTTCAATCTGTCAGGAAAAGTGCCAGTTGTGAAACCTAGGCAAAACCAAATATTCACGAGTCAAAATTGTGCGTTATCTCAACCTGTTGTCTAGTCCGTCGCGAATATGTCAGCGTCTGACGGTGCACTTACTTCAGGAACTCGTTGAGATTCACTGGATGATGCCTGTTTGTTCAGTGGATGTATACCTAACAACCACTGTCTCCTGGGCCTCCAGTTTGGAGGCTACTCAAGCGGTCTGAAGCCAACTACCGATGGCTTTCGGTCAGGAGTCAAAAGCTTCAGTTGAGAACCATAACTATCGTCTTGTCTAGGTTCAAGCTCCATGCACAGCCCACATACTACCATAAACTTCAAAAACAAGCGTACATTCAACCCACACCAGCTCTGGGCACTGACATCAACCGGGTCGCGGTATTTACTGCAAGCGAAAACATGCAATCGCTGATGCCTTCCATAATTTTTCATTGTAATCCCTTAACCCTTGTCCTGCCCCACTTGAAAATCACTCTTGTGTGAATCTCAGCTTTGGGCAAGTGAGTCAAACACTTAGGGAAGTGTCAATGTGGGTCGCCGGTCAGATCTATTGCTCGGCGTCTGCAAGAGCGACACTTGTTTTCTGTTTTAATCACAAGCTCTGACGTAAGAACATTTGATAAATTCGGCCAACAAGCTATATCTGTAAGTACATTGGCTACTCTATCGAATAATGTGTACTGCACTTCTGAAGCTCGAGCGAAAAATCAAAGCACGGTTCCCCTGTCTAAGGCGATCGCTTCTGCTGTTGCAATTGTGCCTTGCCAGACGATCTGGGAATGACTTGCTGGCACTCGAAACACCACACGAATCGCTTAAGTTGTCCACACTGCTTGATGGGACTGAGAAAAGCGTTAGGCACAAAGTATTTCCACACGCCTGTAACTTGACACACCAAACTGGTTGTGCCATCTGTGTGTATAGCAAGACCGCCACTTCCTATAGAAAACAAAATATAGGCATGGCGGAATATACTACTCATAAGGCTGTTTCGAAAACATACGAATAAGTTCGCCTTTCTTGGAGTTGATCGTGTGAGCACAGCTTCTAGGTATCCATTAACTTCAAGTACTAGAGCTAAGCTGGGATTCATTTGAAACACCTCAATACCAGCTTAGTTTTCCAGAATGGAAAGTTCTTTTGATTTTTATAAAGCGAATTCACTCGATTTAACTTTAGGACATCCTGATTCAGTGTTCAATATGCCGAGTGATTATTGCTCAGAATCCAGCGGGCTAACTTTATTCTGACAAAGGCTCGAAGCCTGTGAATGGGGGAGTAACTTCGCAGTCTTTGGGACAAGGCAGGATTGGTTCTTGAAAGCATACGTCGATAGTGCATATCTGCGATCGTAGTCTGAATGCACAGTTGCCGTTGGTCTTACAGGGCGGCTGAAATCTTCAAGCTCGATTTTGTCTCCATCACCACCTGGGTTACAAATAATACAACTAAATAATAATCATATGCTCGTGCCGAGCATCGTAGGTTGGTCGTACGACAAGACATTTGTCGGACAGAATGCGAGAACACAATCCCGTATCTCTGAGTCGTAGTTGGAAGAAACCAGGCTCAAGCGCGATCGCATCACATTTGGCCGAAACCAGTCGTGTTGTAGACAAGGAGCAAGCCCTCATTATCATATACCGGGTACTTCTGAACCGATCACGACTGGTACGATCCAGACTACTATCGATCGCAGAGGCGATTGGAATCCGACTGCTGGATACACAACTTTGCGTCCAAAAGAAACTTGTTCGACCTCTGAACTTGAACTGGCCTACGAAACATCCGATCCCACAAGTCTGTCTGACATTGAAGGCACTCACCTGATTCCGTGACTCACTGACCTATCCTTCGTTTAGCAACCCCTTCCATCGATTTCTGTTTCTATAAAGCGTGTGCGACCCCGATCTTGAAAGTTCCCACGTGATTTCTAGTACCACATAAATTTGTGATGTATTAGTCAAGATGAACGATCACAGAAAACAAGCTTTGTTCACCATCTTCTTCATCCTCATAAATACTCGTTCTGATTGTCGTGTGGATACACTTTCGCCAGCCACCCATGCCATTATAGTGCAGATGATGCCATTTACACTGTAAGGTCGAATGCCTCTTCATTGTCAGACTTTGTCCAGTCACAATACTTGTCACCAGCCATCTGCCGTCGCGGAAACGAGATGAGTACTGCGACCAATGCTGACCAATCAAAAATAACTATTTTGACACTATCCCTTCTTGGAGAAGGAAGTTTCGGTGTTGTGTAGCATTCGAATTGCTTTACCGACTTGAAACAAAACTGAGGTAACATTTTGACCTCCCACAAAAGTCACCAAACAGCACTTGTTGGCGGTTCTTATGAAAAGGATTGCGAACGTTCTAGATGAACACAGCCAAAACGACTTTCGGACTATTCCACTGTTTCGTGTAATTATGGGCTCTAGCGCCAATCAAGCGAATTATTTTGCGTTTTATTTACCCTAAGGAATTTTTTGTCACAGTGAACTCTCCCATTGTGAGACATCGACTGACAGTGACGATAAGTCCAAAAACCCGGAAGCAACAAGATCACAAAAGACACATAGGCCTCTGCTGCGAATTTGCCAGTTCAACAGCCAGTCAGCAAGTGAGCATATGATGTGAACCATTCTGGTTGGTTGATTTCGACCATTCCCTGGTGTCAGAATGATAGAGTATTTAGCCACCAGTTGGCAGTTCCGTGTTTGATCCTTCCGGGTCCTTTGTGAGATGAAACTGCTGATTAAAAAGCTACACACTGCTTTTCAGATTTCTGGTAATGACTTCACTCATGTGTAGGAATCTGGTCTGATGTCGCTAAAGTATCTTCACATAACTCAAGTTGCTCAGTGGGAAGAGTAATTCGCATGAACAGTGAACGTTCTGTCGGAGAAGTCGACGGAGAAGTCACTGGTTGAAGGACCAGTGACACTATATCCTATCTGGGCGCGAATTAGCCATTGATCGCACCCTCGTGGCGGAACTGCTTTATCTTAAACGGCCGGTTGTTTTAGGCTTGATACTTCTAGAATATTTGTGATTTGCACACCGTCGACGACATTCAACCGTATGGACCGGAATCTTGTGAATCTCTTCACTACACAAATTACGTAATAATAGTGAGCATGATCTTCAGACAAGATCCATGTGTCAACTTACGTGGTCGCTTGTCAAATTTTGAAAGTAACTCTCACCGAAAAAGTGTGGTATTCGTCTTTACATGGACAACTGACTCTATTTTCTTTCTGTCTAGTTCGTTCATTCGTCCTTCGGTTAGCGCAGATATGTTGGAGACCAGACATTTAGTTTACGCCTGGAACCCTGATTTCGTTTTGGGGACTTATCTGACTCTGTCTATGGATCTCCTAAGATGATCAGCTGATACCCCACATAAAAGCCGTTTTGCTTTCGAATAAGCTTCTGTTGTACGGGCTTCAAAGTGCACTCTTAAGCACTCGGACCTCATGGAGCTATGCAAGATGATCGATATGAAGTGTTCATGAGGACGTACCAACCGGAAAATCTTAGGAAGAACGATAATTACTGTTCACCGACATGATGATCCAATGAAATAGCACCGTGTGGAGGATGACACACTGCGACTTGAAAGTAAGTGCCACTAGCTAACGTTAGTTCGTACTTAGCTAATAATCGTTACCTGATCAATTTTGTGCATTCGGCGTTCCTGATTCGTCTTCAAATCTTATGCGAAAAGCTGGTGCATACAATACCCCAATCAGCCACGAAAACATTCTAGTATTTACCTAGACCATTCTTACATGACCTTCGATTTTTCTGCATTTCTGCTCATGAATGGCTATAACTTGTTTGAAAGTAAGGAGAGGATAATATGGATGACGTTCCAAAGCACCACTCGAAGAAAAATATTTCCACTCCTCATTTGTGACGCTTTGCTCTTGACATTTGGATATGCTTCCAAGACTTCTTCAGACATGTAACAGGTGTTTGGTCTTCTGAAAATTTTCTAGAAGTGTCAGTTACGAACATGAATCAAGTGAAACTTTGGATCCTTGCTTGTGGTCGATTGCTGGTATAGCGTTGCTTTCACGGATGAAAAGAGGCGAAACCGAAAGAATACCTGATCATCCATCAGTGGACAGGTCACAGACGATTTATCCCGTACGTCAACTCATTGATTCTATGAAGTCTAGCCAGTTCAACCAACTGGGCTGCTGATGAATAGGACTCAGAATATTGTATATGTAGGACATTCCGTTAAGTCAGGGAAGGACCGAGGCTCATACTATGGTATTCAATATAAATTATTAGTATTCTGCTGTTTTTATCTAATCTGTTGGAAAGACTTATACAAATTCAGTCAGGCCACCAACTCAACACTGGAGATACAGTTAGAGATGGTGCTATGGGTTATCCCTCGTTTGGTCCGGGGGAAAAGCCAGTGGTGTGCTAAAATATCGTCTGACTTTCATAACGCTTAATCAAGACTATCCAAGTTCTTTGCCATGAAGGCTATTCTCTAAAAATTCTAACAGGATTGATTGGCCATTTTGGACATTTATCGAATCTCATTCAAGCATCCATGCATCCGTCAGACATGTTTATTCAAACAGCTAACGTATTCACTGTAAGTGGAAAATGTGTCCCTGTTAGTCCTCAGCGTACGCTGTCCCAGGTTCACCTTGTAGTCGTACTTTTGGTAGTGACAGCTTGGTTCAATTTGTCTGTGAGGTAGATGCATGAAGTCTATCATATTGAGGAAGTAAGTGGACCTTTTTCATGAAGGAAACTACTCACAAGTTTGCTGAAAACTCTTCGACAGCCCACGACCGGTTTCGCCTTCTTGGGGCTCATCGGGTAGGCGCAGTCCCCGAGTTTCCGTCAACCTTATGATCTACTTTAACACTGTTAACGTTCTACTTCAACGTTCTGTACACATATCACGTGTATAAACATAATATCAAACTCTGTTTTCCGTGAAAACAATGCCCTTTTGGCTCTATTTTCGTAATAACGAGCTAACCTGCTTCTACTGGACATCCTGAGTAACTTTGAAATAAAAGGCCTGAAGGTTCGCCAGAGACTTAAGTAGAAAGACTTGGAAGGCTAAAGATCTTTGCAAAAGCGTATTATTTTCCCCAGCAAGTATGAACTTCACTGTTTCCTCTTTGGCAAAGTATTAGAGGGTGTATATCATAGTTTCTTATAGTACGCTGAAGCTCAAAGGTCTTGAGTGGGAGAACTGTTTCGGCAAAGCCCGACTCAGACAAACGCTCATTAGCAGATCTGACAATTGGCCGAAAGTTTAAATAAGAAATACGTTCGCGAATGATCGGATTATAAGGGCTTTAGTAAGTAAGCAGTGTGCAGTGACAGTTCTCCGAGAGTTGATTGTTTGAATATCTGGCCGCTCGAAGGAAATCTCTACGAGCTGGCTTGTTTTTCGGACCTTAGTAGGCATGCTAAAGACACCTTCCACAGCGTAGCCACATGATACATTCCTAGGAGACTATTGTGAAAGCCGTCGGAGAACCAGACCAACTATGTGCTTCCTGATCCATCAAATGAAGTTTTTTTTACACTAGTGTGAGAACATACATCACACTTTGGGTCAGGATGTGATTTTATCTAGTTAATAGCTTTTGCTGTTGACCGGCGCACAAAGTTAAAGGAGTAAAGGAGTTCTTTACTCAAGGGGTTTGTTTGAATGGAACAATTTCAAGGTCCTAAGTGGTACATCCATGTCTGGAAGTGTCATTTTGATTTTACTTGCAACTAGTAAATCATGGAGAGAAGAGTGTTGTTCATTTTCATCACTATTTTTTGTCAAAATCTAAAATCAGACAGTTACACATATGAAAAATGACATAAACGTGATGGACACTTAAACCATAGACGGGTGTGTTGCGTGTAAATGCTTGTCGATAAGAGTTATTTATCCTTCACATTATCGTTGCGCTTCACCTTCTTACTCATGTGTTTAATTAGACCAGACTACAGAATATGCACCAGAAAAAACTTCTTACAGAGGTGTTCACTGATGGATCAGCAAATAGATACAAATATGATGCTGAGAGAAGCTTCAACATTTAGCCGTGAATGTGATGTGGACGACCGACTAGACCACAGAATTTTAGCTTTAATCTAGTTACTTTAGTGTTGAAAGTAGTTTATAACTTATTTTTTGAAACGCTCACGTTTTTCGAAATAGCGTGCAGGTTTTTCGTTACATTTATTGTCTTCCAATGAGTTTATTTTCGGAGCATGCTGTGAACTTGTGTGATTACTTGCTGGAACGTGAAATTTAACCTCCCACACAGTAGGCATATATAAATTACTCCAAATGACCCAGAGAAATATATAGAATGCTTCGTTGTTTTTAAGATGTACTGTGCTTTGGAAAACTGGAATACTAAAAGAAATTAGAAGAA